AGGAAGGAAGGAAGGAAGGAAGGAAGGAAGGAAGGAAGGAAGGAAGGAAAGAAGGAAGGGAGGAAGGAATGAAGGAAGGAAACCCAAGAACTGTTTGTATTTTCTGTCTTCATTTGCTCATCATTTTATTTTTCCTTAAACCACATTAATTGGATGTCTATCCCCACATTCCATTCCTCTGAAACCTCTCTTGACACAATGGGCAACAGCCTCTACTTTATCAGATGCAATAGTTAAATCTCAGACTTTTCAGCAGCATTTGACATTGTAGATCCGTGCCCGAGTTCCACCATGGGAAATACCTACTTGACAGTTATTGTGCATAGTAAATGAATTATGGTCTAATCTTTGGAAAATATTTTGACCCCATAAATGTTACTATTATTGGCCACTTTTCTTCTACCTTCTTGAAACACAATTCTGTCTTCTGTACAATCATATTCTTCTGGTATTCTTTCTCTCTTATACTTCACTGGCCACTCCTCAGTCATTATGTCTTTCTTAGGAATCTTCATTTCAATTGTTGAAGAACACAGGTCTAAGTCTTCTCTCTTCTTTAGCTACCCTCATTCCCTAGTCAGACCATCCACATCAAGGTACCTCAGAAGCATTAAAGCAGGTTTTTTAAACCTGAACACTATTTACATTTTGGACCAAATAATTATTTGATGTGCAGCAGCATCACTGGCTTCTACCAACTAGATGCCAGGCAAAATCTGCCAGGCATTATTCTAATTGCTTTGCACTTATTAACTGACTAATTTTCATAACGATCTTTGAAGGTAGATATTATTGTCATTTTTTTAGACTTTATTTTTTAGAGAAGTTTTAGATTCACAGCAAAATTAAGAGGAAGGTACAGAGATTCCCCATATATTCCTAGCTCCTACATATGCACAGTCTTCTCCATTATCAGCCTAACGGACAATAATAGCACCTCTGTTACAGTTGGTGAACCTCCATTGACACATCGTGATCACACAGAGTCCAATGGGGTTCACATGGTGGTGTACGTTCTGCGGGTCTGGAAAAATTTATGATGACATGTATCCACCATTATAGTATTGTACAGAGTACTTTCAATGCCCTAACACTCCTCTGTGGGGGCACCTGGGTAGCTCAGTCGGTCAAGCATCTGACCCTTGATTTCAGCTCAGGTCGTGATCTCACAGTCATGAGATCCAACCCTGACATTGGGCTCAGTGCTGGGTGTGGAGCCTGCTTGAGATTCTCTCCCTCCAGCTCCCTCTGCCCCTTCCCTGCTCTCTTAAAAAAAAAAAAAAAGTAAAAAGTAAAACTCTGTGCTCCACCTACATCCCTCTCCCCATCCAACCTCTGGCAACCACTGATCTTTTTATTGTCTCTATAGTTTTGTCTTTTCTAGAAGTCATATAGTTGGAATCATACAGTGTATAGCCTTTGTAAACTGCCTTCTTTCGCTTAGTAATATGCATTTAGGGTTCCTCTATGTATTTTCATGGCTCAATAGCTCATTTCTTTGTAGTATGGAATAATATTCCGTTATCTGATATTCCATTATCCATTCCAATATACCACAGTTGATTTATCCATTCACTTACTAAAGGACATCTTGGTTGTTACCAAGTTTGGCGATTATGAATGAAGCTGCCATAGATATGTGTGCAGGTTTTTGTATGGATATAAGTTTTCAACATTTTGGGGTAAATACCTAGCAGTGAGATAGCTGGATCATGTTAACAGTATGTTTAGTGTTTGAGAAACTGCCAAACTGTCTTCCGAAGTGGCTATACTTTGCATTCCCACCAGCAGTGAATGAGTGATCCTGTTTCTCCACATCTTTACTAGCATTGGTGATGTCAGTGTTCTAGATTCTGACAATTCTGCTCAGGGTGTAGTGGTATCTCCCTCTTGTTTTAGTTTGCATTTCCCGGATAATATCCATATGGAGCATCT